CGTATCTGCACACTGTACAAGTGAGACAAAGCCAAGCGAGGAGGAGGTTTTCTCATGCAAATGATGTGAAAAAATAATTACAAGAACACACGATTAGAAAAATCAACTGTAAACTGAATGTAATTTTCTATAAAAATGCTTAAATATATTTTATATATATTTAAGATATTAAACTATTTGATTATATATTCATTTTATTTTTTAATATTTAAAAAAAATAAAAGAAAGCTTTGATTCACATTGTCACAAATACATTTAATATATTTGATTATGTATTATCATTTAATATTTTAATATTTAAACAAAAATGAAAAAAATAAAGTTTATAGGCTTCGAGTCACATAGTCAAAAACATTTAATATATTTTTTTAAATATACTATTTTATTATGTATTATAATTGAATATATATTGTATAATTTGATTATGTATTATAATTTAATACTTTAATATTTAAAAAGTGTTTATCAGTTTGATTCAAATTAGTCACAAAGTTTTAATATACTTTAAGATATTATACTATGTGATCAAAAACATTTATGGTTTGGATTCACAATCTCACACTTTTTTAATATATTATATTTAATATATATTATATTATATATTTTATAAAATAATATTAATTTTATATTTTAATATTTTAAAAATGAAAAAAAAAGGCTTTTATTCACAGTCACAAACTTTTAATATATTTTAATATATAAGAATAATTCATTAGAATATTTAAAAAAAATGTAATTGCTGAAATATATTTTAAGATACATTTACTGAATACTCTGTTTTAATCTATCTATCTATCTATCTATCTATCTATCTATCTATCTATCTATCTATCTATCTGTCTATCTATCTATCTATCTATCTATCTATCTATCTATCTATCATCTGTCTGTCTGTCTGTCTGTCTGTCTGTCTATGGCAGAACTAAGCAAAAACAGCTTGCATCTCCTATATGAAACTCCTTTATATGTATTTGTCGATTTTTCTCAATGGTTTCCATGTTAGATCCCATACGAGGAGCTGGGTGGGAAGACGCTGGTCATGTCTGTGTATGACTATGACCGCTTCTCCAAGCACGACATCATCGGTGAGGTCAAACTACCCATGAACACTGTGGATCTGGGTCAGCCGATCGAGGAGTGGAAAGACCTGGATAGTGTTGAGAAAGAGGAGGTGATTATTAGATGATCTAATATTTATTATGATCTATTTTTTAACTGTTCCGAGACAGATTTGAAAAGAAAGCAAGCAGAGATGCTTTGGATCAGTACTTTCAAATCATAAACGATCACCCACTGATATCTTTTCCATACAGCCGGAGAAGCTTGGTGACATCTGCATCTCTCTGCGTTACGTTCCTACTGCGGGTAAACTGACCGTTTGCATCCTCGAAGCCAAGAACCTGAAGAAGATGGACGTGGGCGGCCTGTCTGGTGAGAAACAAGCTGAGATATGTGAGACCAGCAAGATACGTTTCATATGTTTGATGCAATTAACTCGACGTTTGGCCTTTTGCAGACCCGTATGTGAAGATCCAGCTATTGCAGAACGGCAAGCGTCTAAAGAAGAAGAAGACTACGGTGAAGAAGAACACACTGAACCCGTACTACAATGAGTCCTTCAGCTTTGAGATCCCTCTGGAGCAGATGCAGGTAGATTTGAACTTACTTGAACTTTTTTATTATCATTATTTGTTTGGAAAAGTCACATCACATAACATAGTAGTACACAAGATATTTTCAAATTCATCATTGCTTTTCCGTACATTTTTCCGAGAAAACCAAGACAAAATGCAAAAAAAATATCAAGGAAAAAAATTTATATATAAGTAAATAAATAAAAATACAAATAACAGTAAAGAAAAAGGAAAAAAGGATTTTAAAAAAATCTCAATATTTTAGTTTAGAAAGAAGAGAGAAGATACATCAGGGATAGTAATATAATTATTACATTTTGACACATTTTTGTTGCGATGCTACAGAAAAAAAATATTTTACTGTTGACAAAGTATAATTAATAACTTCTATAAATGTATTACAGTTGCTGTCACAGACTGTAAACCAATTCTTTGTAATTGTTTTCTTAGAAGCAGCTAACATTATTTTAAATAAATATTGTTAATCTGTTAAGCTGTAATAAAGTTCAATTCAATTCAATTCAAGTTTATTTGTATAGCGCTTTTCACGATACAAATCATTGCAAAGCAACTTTACAGCAAATTAAGTTTCTACAATATTTAGTGGTAGCTTATCAGTGGTGACTGTCAGTTAATGTACATATGGCAGAAATGTACGGAAAAATCAATTAAAGATGTAATCAAACAGACGATGAACACTATTAACAGCAATTATTATATGATGCAATCAAACTTATAGCAAAATGTGGTAGTTCTGTATGTTGTTTCAGGGTAATAAAGTACCTCAAATGTCAATGGAAATTTAATATCCAAAACATATTTTATAATTTCATGGACATTCACCTTAAAGGTTTTAATTTTATTACAACTCCCAAAAATATGGTAATAATTAGCATTTATATGTCCACATTATATCCACCACAATAAATCTTCTGAAAAATAAAAAAACATACTACATTTTTCTAACAAAATTCCCTCAAATGATGTTATACCAGAATTTCTACCAGAATAATGATTGATGATTAATGATTCTTGAACATACAGTAAAAACCGAAATATTGATACATTTTTAAACAACTGTTTTCCATTTGAATATATTTTGAACAGAAGTTGATGCAGTTTTTACTACCAGATTTTATAATACACTAGAATTAGTTTGGCTAAACGATTTTCTGTGTTTGTTTTTCTCTAGAAAATCCTTGTGGCAGTGACGGTCTTCGACTACGATAAGATCGGCAAAAACGATGCCATTGGGAAGATCTTCATTGGCAGCAAAGCCACAGGCACAGCGATCAAGCACTGGTCTGACATGTTGGCCAACCCGCGCCGCCCCATCGCCCAGTGGCATCCCCTCCAACCGGAGGAAGACATCGACGGTGCTCTGGCTGCCCTTAATGCCAAGAAGTAACTTCTCACATCTCAGCCTGATTAACCAACTAACTAACCAACCCGCCACTGCACGACACCCCACACTCATCTGTATGCGCTCTGCCAGTTTGTTTCGCATAATCACCAACAAAAATATTCTAAAGAATATACTTGAAAAGATGAACAATATCACGTTCGCCACATAGCATAAACCAAGGCAAATAACATTGTACACCTAAATAGCGAAAGCAAAACGACCGTAGGAGAAGTAGCCAGCAAGAGTGATATTTTACACACCGTTTTCTACTTTGCAGCCCAATTTGCCAGCCAACTACACAATACGCAAATACAAAAATAGTACAAACCAACAATGAAAGTGCACAAAAAAATGAGTAAACAAACCTGAAGAGACCATTTTTGCAACTATTTGCCTACAACTAGTTAACTGGATTAAATATTACAAAAGGCTTTTATTTCATTCCATGAACAGGAAGGAATTTGTTTCAGGATGTTGTTTGTCGGATATATTGGTGAGCTGGAATTTTGTTCCTAATCATAAGTGCAAATAATGGTAAGTTTATGTTGCAAATATCTACACATTTGCACAATTACAAAGCAATGATCACGTTCACTTAAACATCCCAGGAGAAGAAAGTGGTGTAGGGCAGATTTGTTTACATTGTCGATGGGTAAATTAGGCCTTTGGGCCATAAGACACGTCAAAACATTGCATTTGCATATATGTGCCCAAAAGAAAGAGGATTCAGGTCTATGGTTTTGTAATAGTGCAGTTAGATAGGACTATATTAATAAATAGGCTAGTAATTCATGAAATGTTGCATTAAACATTCAACACGAGTCAAGCATGGTTTACAGTCAGTGTAAAGATATAGACACTCACAAACGGTCTCTTTTACTGTAATGCTACGATTACAGTGCCAAATCCAGACGTTCGTGTATCTCACATATAAAAGCTCCCATCTGGCCAAACCTGACAGGCACTAAAGCTGGCTGTGAATGTATCGTGGGATCGTACAAATGAAATTTGCACTCAGTCGGTATGTCTTTGAGAGCTCGCTGTCGTGTTTTCATGATCTCGGCCTGTTTCACATACATTTGAATACCTGGTTGACGTCACTGCCACCTTTGTTCGGAGCTCAAACTCACCCGAGTTCATTCAGTAAACTCCACTCTCCGAGATGCCAAAGTATTAACTGGAACAGAATAGTAAGTGACGGTTAACTGGGTGTTTGGTAAACTAATCTAAATAAAGCAATCCGAAGCATTCAGATCCACTCGAATCCAGCTCCATCCCCAATGATGCTTGTGTATATATGCATTGATCATGGTTTCTACAGCATGTACCTATAAATTGATGTACATAGAAGCATGTTTTAAAGATAGAGCATAATTATATTGTGTACGTGTGGCATTTGTCATTTTGATAATAAAATGTAGAGGAAAGAAAATGCACTGAATGCACATTTTATGAAAGTTCCCTGAAAGGGCGTTAGATATTTAAAAAATATATTAATATAGAGTTTTTCAAAATACTTTTAAATTTGCAACAGAATTAGGAGCTGTGTGTAACGTGAGTGTTAGACTCGTGCTTGTGGTGTCAGTTTCATTTCATTTGCATTTATTTACCTTTTTTGTCCAGTCAACATGTATTTGTCTTGTAAGTTTCTGTGTATATTTTGTCCTGTTGATGTGAAAATAAGAAATAAAAATGTTCAGGTTGTGAATTTACAGGAATGTCTTGTTAGGGTGAATTTCACAAAAAACATGTCTGGGTTACATTTCACCACAAAACCAGAAGACACAAATAAAGTGTATTTTGTATTAAGAAATGTTTAGGACCATTTTATTTTATTATTATTATTATTATTTTATTGCTTTGCATTGCATTATAGTAATGAGAATTCAGTGGAAAATGTGCTTAATTTTTATGATAATAATGCAAAAAGTAGTAATGGTCCTAAAATAGGCTTCATTTTCTCCCCGTGAAATATATATATATACAGTGGGTACGGAAAGTATTCAGACCCCCTTAAATTTTTCACTCTTTGTTATATTGCAGCCATTTGCTAAAATCATTTAAGTTAATTTTTTTTTCCTCA